GTGTACAGGAAACAGTATGTATTGTATTGGGGAGTTTAGTGTGTTGTATATTGTATAGAGTCTTGTGTATTGTATTTAAAGGTATAGGTTTGTGCACAGGAAAACAGATTTTGTTGTATTGGGGTGGGGGTGGGGGTGGGGGTGGGGTGGGTTTAGTGTGTTGTATATTGTATAGAGTCTTGTGTATTCTATTGAGAGGTATAGGTTAGTGTACAGGAAGCAGTGTGTATTGTATTGGGGAGTTTAGTGTGTAGTATATTGTATAGAGTCTTGTGTATTGTATTTAGAGGTATAGGTTAGTGTACAGGAAACAGTATGTGTTGTATTGAGGAGTTTAGCGTGTTGTATATTGTATAGAGTCTTGTGTATTGTATTGAGAGGTATAGGTTAGTGTACAGGAAACAGTATGTGTTGTATTGAGGAGTTTAGCGTGTTGTATATTGTATAGAGTCTTGTATATTGTATTGAGAGGTATAGGTTAGTGTACAGGAAAACAGTGTGTGTTGTATTGGGGAGTTTAGTGTGTTGTATATTGTATAGAGTATTGTGTATTCTATTGAGAGGTATAGGTTAGTGTACAGGAAAACAGTGTGTGTTGTATTGGGGAGTTTAGTGTTTTGTATATTGCAGATAATCTTGTATATTGTATTGAGAAGTTTAGGTTAGTGTACAGGAAAACTGTGTTGTATAAGGGAGTTTAATGTGTTGTACATGTATATTGTAAAGAATCTTGTGTATTGTATTGAGAAGTTTAGGTTGGTGTACGGGAAAACAGTGTGTGTTGTATAGGGGAGTTTAGTGTGTTGTGTAGGACTGGTTAGAGTGTTGTACAATATAGATTAAAAAGTACTGTCGGAAATAGAAAAAAAGAAGGTTTGTCCCATTTATATCTACAATTTAGTTAGTTAATATGCGAAAGTGTGAAATATCTGTTGAACTACGTTCGGCCTAACTACAGTCTCAGTGGGAGGGAGATAGGAAATGTAAAAGAAGGATTTTACTGAGGAGAGATTAGTGCAGAAGGGAGCAATAAGTCCGAAGCGACGTATTTGGAGCAGACCATGGTTTTATGCAAATAAGTGTGCAATGATATTGTATAACAAATGACACTTTTTGAATGTCCATTTTGAAATTAGACTTAACTTCATTATAAACGATAGCTGACGTAAAAAATAACAACTTTAATACTGAAACTATTAAGGATATAGATACCATTGTGTCTCACTATCACTTTAAATAGAAACAGGTAGGAGGGGTCGTCTCAAAAGCAAAACCAAGACGGGTGTTGCTGACGGTAGTTGGGGTCGGGCTTGAGGATAGAGATATTAGCTATAGTTTTGGCATGAAATGCATGTGGACCCGTTTGTTGTAAATATCTCTTCATCCAATCGATCTCAAACTGTGCAAGTGGATGTTTTGTCAGACAGCCTAATCACATTGTAAATCACCGATTTTATGCATTTGTATTAAAAAATCTGTCTGTGTAACTGTCAACAAAATAAACAGCAGAACGCAGACTGCTTGCAGAGGGAGGGAGCAAATGACCTGTAATAGCGGCAGTGTTGGGTCATAAAGGTAAATGCACGTGCTGTTCATGATAGTTACCTGTGCACTGCACAGTGATAGACCGTTTGGATCATTCACAGTGACTACTTCTAGCTGTCATCATGAAAGCTTATTCAGATGATGCTAAACGTTTAATTAGAAATGTGTTGAAGTTTTTGAAAATAGAGAGCAAACGTACAAACCGATTTATAAGGTGTCGGATTACATGAAACGTATAACTTTTGCTCTTGGCATAAAAAAGAACTTTTAAAAATTGTGCAAAATAAACCAACATCCAATAAACAAAACCTTGTACAAAAAGGTAGGCATCCAAAGTTAGATTCTTTGGACATTAGGGTCATCAGAGAGGTCATTCGCCGGCTCTTTGCTAGAAATGAACACCTGTCCACAAGAAAGTTAAAACACATCCTTACAGAGGATCACAACATTAATGTTTCTAGGTATATGCTAAGCAAACTACTGCTCAAATTTGGATACAAGTACAAGAAGGTAGCAAACCAGAAACTTGTAATGTGTGAGAGATCTGATATTGTGAACCCGTGAAGATCCGGGGTAGAATAGGTCTTCAGCAACCCATGTGCTTGCCATAAAAAGGCGACTATCTTGTCGTAAGAGGCGACTAACGGGATCGGGTGGTCAGTTTTGCTGACTTGGTTGACACATGTCATCGGTTCCCAATTGCGCAGATCGATGCTCATGCTGTTGATCACTGGATTGTCTGGTCCAGACTCGATTATTTACAGACCGCCGCCATATAGCTGGAATATTGCTGAGTGCGGCGTAAAACTCAACTCACTCACTCACTCTGATATTGTGAAAATAAGGTGTAAGTATCTGAGAGAAATTAAGCAGGCAAGAGAGGATGGGTTCGAACATATATATCTGGATGAGACCTGGGCCAATGCAAACCATACTGCTGCCAGACAGTGGCTACCCACTGATCCCGGTGAACGTTTAATCGTTCTTGATGCTGGTTCCCACCGTGGATTCCTACCTGGGTGTGATCTGGTATTTCGGTCAAAGAACACAGATGGTAGGGACTATCATACAGAAATGAACTCAACGGTTTACACACAGTATGTTGAGGAACAATTGTTGCCAGCTCTGCCTTACAAAAGTCATGTGGTCATGGACAATGCTCCCTATCACAGTGTTCGAGATCCAAACGATAGGTGCCCAACTTCCAATACAAAGAAGTCAAATATGCAGCAATGGGTAACAAATAACAATATACAATTTTCAATTAAGGCCACTAAACCACAGTTGTACTCTTTGATTAAACCTAACAAACCTCCACCCACATATAACATTGACAACATGCTACGCCAACACGGCCATAAGGTCTTGAGATTACCACCGTATCACTGTGATCTCAACCCAATCGAACTTATCTGGGGAGACCTTAAAAGTACAGTGGCCCGGAAAAATCAATCATTCAAGTTGAATAATGTCAAGCACATTGTCAACACTGCTATATGTGACATTGTCATTGCACGCTGGCATGCATGTGTTGAACATGTCAAGAAGGTGGAGAAAGAGTACTGGCTCAAAGATGGCTTGAAGGAGCAAACAGTTAATCCAGCTGTCATTCGTCTGGACACTGATGACTCCTCTGTGGAAGAATGGAGTGAACTTGATGAAGTTTAATTCTGTTATTATATTTACAGATAATAATAGTATCCAGCCAGATATGCTCAAAGAAATATAACTTCTCCAACGACTTATAGTGTAACATGAAACACTCATTTCACATAAAATTATCATGAAAATATAGATATTAACTATTTATATGCTTAAAGCTATTAGAAATGCATTGCATAATTTGGAATGTGAACGACATCAAAACATAACACTTTTGTCTTCATTCTATCTTTTCTTCAATGAGTGTGCATGATTGTGTGTGCTTGTGTCCGAGAGAACGGGGCTTTAACAGTTGTTGAGTTCAAACCATAGGTGGTCTGATTAATGATTTAGTTTAAATATACTTTCTGTGTTCTTTAAATGCATTTCCACTTAGGCACTGCACAAACAAAATATGACATTAACATTACAAATTTAAAGATTTTAACCTACAGAATAATTCTCACTAATGGGTTTTGTGGTTAATGTTGAACAACTCAGAGAAACAAACTCCGTATGATGTTAACAGTTGGCACCCACCTTACCCTATTCACGACCTGTGACACCTCTTCATACCTGTCACGTGCATAGCTGACCTACATTGACGAACCTTTATTACCCAACACTGCCGCTGTTACAGGTCATTGGCTCCCTCCCTCTGCAAGCAGTCTGCGTTCTGTTGTTTATTTTGTTGACAGTTACATAGACAGATTCTTTAATACAAATGCATAAAATCGGTGATTTACAATGTGATTAGGCTGTCTGACAAAACATCCACTTGCACAGTTTGAGATCGATTGGGTCTTTGGATGAAGAGATATTTACAAAAAACCGGGTCCACATGCGTTTCATGCCAAACTATAAGATTAGATAATCAATAGAGACATATTCAATACACATGGAAAAGCATAAAATTTATTTGAGATGATCCCTTGTGTCTGTGGGCAGCACGTGCATTTCATGCCCAGTGAGTCGACGGTCCGTCGTCATGCCTGGCTGAGCGACCTAATTGCCATCTATAGTCTGATCTATTGTTTTCAGCAGCTATTCCTATTTTTTCTAAGTTTTGCCCGAGTTTACGAGTAAACATGCTTTTCTGGATATCCTATTACGCATCCTACTGAACGCCCGATATGGGTTATTTCGACATATGCTATTTGCAATTGTGTAAATTTTAGGGATACAGAGTAACAGCCTAAAACAGTTTTTTCTTCTCTTTCCGACAGTACTTTTAGTGTGTTGTACATGTTAATTTCTGTATTTTGTGTATGTTGGGCAACGAGTGAGTTTTATTGGGGAATCTTATTTGTTATATATAGGGGAGTGCATATGGGAGGTCGAGTGTATTGTATTGGGTAGTGTAGTGTATTGTACAGGGAGTTCGAGTGTATCGTATTGGGGAGTGTAGTGTAGTGTATAGGTAGGTCAAGTGTATTGTATTGGGTAGTGTAGTGTATTGTACAGGGAGGTGAAGTGTATTGTACCGGGGAGTGTAGTGTATTGTACAGGGAGTTCGAGTGTATTGTATAGGGAGGTGAAGTGTATTGTATTGGGGAGAGTAGTGTATTGTACAGGGAGGTGAAGTGTATTGTACTGGGGAGTGTAGTGTATTGTACAGGGAGTTTGAGCGTATTGTATTGGGGAGTGTAGTGTATTGTACAGGGAGTTCGAGTGTATTGTATTGGGGTGAGTAGCGTATTGTACAGGGAGGTGAAGTGTATCGTACTGGGGAGTGTAGTGTATTGTACAGGGAGGTCAAGTGTATTGGGAGCGTAGTGTATTGTATAGGGAGGTGTAGTGTACTGACTACCCACCGACTTTCCTGATGCCTTCTCAAATGCTTTGACCATGTCCAGTACGGAGTAGCCATGTCCAGTGCCCAGGTTGTAGGTCTTCAATGGAAGACAAATAGAGGTCATTAACATCACTTTCAAGCATACAACGTTCTGGATAACAACGTCTTATCTACAACACAGTGACGTTTAGGTGTAGATTCTTACAGCGTTGTCAAGCTAAACGTGAGTACAACCAAGCATTAAGAAGTATATATACATAGCGTGTTTTGACAAACCTGGCATTAACATTAAGGACAGCATGTAATTCAATAGCAAATGGGTTGGGGGTGTTGCCTTTAGGAGGGTGGGTTACGACCATTAACCTTAATTGGGAGTGATGGGGAGCCAGTGAAGATGGTGTCGATGCCTGCTTGGTGCTTGGGTAGTGTGTGGATTTTGATGGTCCTCTTGACTAACTTGTTGGGATTCTGGTTGAGGTTGGCGAAGACGTGCTGCAGATGATTAAGCTCATCTTCTAGGTTCATGTTCCTGGAGCTGCTGCTCTTGGCACGTTTGGTCAGAGTTGAGATGATACCAGATTTAGTTTTAGGGGGATGGTTTGGAGGTAAAATGAATGTACTGGTTAGAATGGGGGGATTTTCTGTATGCGGTAGTTTGATCTTTTGCCGGAGTCTCGGGATACAAGGGCATCTAGGAAGGGCAGTTTCAGCAACACATGTTATGTCTGATAGACAAGTATGCCATGTTTCAACAATGCCACCGACCCCGTGGGTATACCTGATGCTCTAGCTGCGACATGGACGTGGGAATCTGTGGTTCAATCAATCAGTGACTGGGAAGATGTTGAGTGACTGACATGAAGGCTAAGATGTTCCAGCTATGATAAGTAACTCACCTTGATAGCACAGCCCTCTTCGACCTTTTCAATCGCTGCCACATGACCTTGGGCAAGGTCAACTACGTGAATGTAATCCCGAACACCTAAAACCAACAACTACATGTGTTATTTGTTTGACTTGATCCTGGCATGCAGTCAGGGGAGACAATCTAGGTAATATGCTCAACACAAGCCTTCCTGTATTACAACCAGGCAGGGTTACTCATACTGACAGTGTAGTAATTTGCTATAAACAGATATGGTTTGGAAATTATGCTTAGCATGGATTCAAACATAGTCAGGAAGCCAATTACATAATAAATAAAATTGGCAGCCAAAAGCATTTAAAAGTGCTTTGTCATCGTTGTGTGTAATTTGTACCATTTCTTTGATTCAGAAAATTCATTATACAAGTATAATCTCTCAATACTGGCACAGTGTCAAGGTGAGTTTCTGCAAACACTGCAACAATGTTTACAAATGTTTGAAAGGCAAAAGAGTGAATTAAGTCAAGGGAAGAATAATATATAGAAACATATCTTCGTTTCACCGAATTTATATTAAAAATATGAAGAAGCATGTTTTGTGAAGTAATTAACCAAGTAAATCATATTTTGATGCTCTATCCATTATGGGCAAGAGAAGCTCATCCACTCAAATTATACTAAACATCCACAACTGATATATACTGTTTCTCAACTTCTAAGTTCATTAGAAGCCCTGAAAGTATTATCATGCGTTTACTTACAAGAAATGTACAGATCCTGATGCTGATAACTACAGACCCCACACTTCACTTACCTGTCCCATCGGGAGTGTCGTAGTCGCTGCCGTACACCTTCAGTTCAGTCCTTCGCCCTACTGCCACCTGGGCTATAAAGGGCATCAGGTTCCTCGGTGTGCCCAGAGGGTCTTCCCCGATCTTCCCCGACTTGTGGGCACCGATCGGGTTGAAGTATCTCAGGATAACAATATTCCACTGCTGCACACACAAACAGCAACGTAAAATCAGTCATATTTATCAAACAAGCAGAGGGGTGAAGAAGATCTGACTTGTATATATTTCAAGCGCAGAGAACAAATCAAACACTGCACCACAAGTACCTCCACTAGCATTCAGGAAAATGGGGAAAGGCTGATATAGATCTTCAGTCCTATTGATGCAATAGGCTCTGCACCACACGTACCTTCACTAGCATGCAGGGAAATGGGGAAAGGCTGATATAGATCTTCAGTCCCATGATGCAATAGGCTCTGCACCACCATCCGGAATAATTGGAATAAGGTATTGATTATTTTTTATATACAGTTGATATTTGCGTATCAGCAACAAATAGACATGACTCAGTTTACGTGATAAGTATTGTGGTTACATGATAGGTAACTGACACCAAGCTAATTTACACCTGTATATTATTCATAAATACAACACAACTACTGTTAAACTGCACCAACCTTTTCTGCATTTGAGAGATCTCTTAAAATTTCTTCGATGAAATACTTTGTTTTGCCATAAGGATTGGTACATCCCCCGATTGGGTGTTTCTCGTCCAGAGGCAGATACTGTGGTGTTCCATACACTGTTGCAGAGCTGGAGAACACTAGGTTGTTGACCCCATTCTCCTTCATCACCTGTCAGGAAGATAAACATGGCAGTCACTTCACAGGTGTTCAACAAACCTTCCAAGGGAGCTTTCTATTTCCCTACTCATGATGAAAATTCATATCAATATATGTATACATATATATATATATAATATTTTGGAAGTTTGCCCTATAATTGTGAAAACTGATCCAGCCTAACTACCAATGAGCATGCACCTAGACACGTTATCAGGGCATACTTGGATTCAAACTCATGATCGCAGGTTTAGGCCTAAGAGAAGCGTCTGAGACATCATGCCGTCTATGTCTCAGCAAGCATTAGTGAGTGAGTTAAAGCGTGACGAGCGAACGCTTTAACGTCTAGGCTACTCCGCCGCCCCACCAAGCATGGCAATAGGTCAGCAGTGAAACAATATGTGCCGCTGCAGGATACCAGGCAGGTAGCCTTGCTTTTCTACATGTTGCTGTGAAGTAGTATCAAACCAGAATGTGAAAGAGACAAGAAGTTCCAATGCTTTCTAAATGGTTTTGAGAGGTATGTTTAAACAGTATAAACCAGTACTACCAAAAGGGCTTTATTTGCTGATAAGACATTTTTTTTGCAATGTAAACAGGATGCTTATTGCCTGTGTATATTACTTGAAGATATCATGTAGACCTGGCAATAAGGCCTAAAAATAAATTGTTGTGGTTCCGCTTACCCAACCGACCCTTGAATTCAGGTTGCCGACCCTAGTTTTTTTACTAGGTATGAATAAAATAAGCTTTCAGCACCAACGGATATCCATCATTCTGATAGAGAAAGTCGACATGATGGCAGCAAACTTGATTAAATGAACAATTACACATTGATAAACGTGTTATTATTTCGTACTTTACTTCTAAAAAATAAATGTAAACATTTTAAAGAGGTGTAATCGGAACCACAACCTTTTCTTATTTGGCCTAATGCTTGTGGAACACACCAGGATAGATACAGGGCATCAACGGTAAATCCATTTGCTAGCCCCGGCATGAGTGAGTGAGTTTCTGATTCTTGGTTAATGTCCTTGTGCAATCTTTGCCTTATATTGAAGCATGTCAGCTTGAGTTGGATGACGATACAGGTCTCACAGGTTTACCACTTGGGGAAACTAATTAGAATCTTTATGGTATTGGCACACCTAAAACATAACATGGGAAAACTGCTATTCAAACCCCTGATCATAGATTTCATTGCATTAGCCTGGTTGAACAAGTACATTAGCAAAACACATTTCTGACCTCTAAAAGGTTGACAGTTCCGCCAATATTTGCCTTGTAGTACAAGAGAGGGCGGCCACATGACTCTCCAACAGCCTTGAGACTTGCGAAGTGGATCACTGCAATGAACTTGTGCTGCAAGCAGACATATGTACATTAAGACAGGAAATTACGAAGAAACATAGTCATCAATAACAGAAATACACAATTACGACATACTTGCTTATCACTAGAGTTTCCATACGGAAAGACTTCTACATATTGTTTATAACAATATCACGATTCAGCAAGGGGCACCAACTGTCTTCTTGTATTTGTGTAGTTTCATGGCTATTAACGTTCTTGTGAAATAAAAATCCCCATTGTGGCTGGTTACTTGGGATGCTTATTGTAGGGATTCATGGCAATATGACTTGCCTCAGTAACTGATATCATGCAATGGACCAGTTTAAAAGTTCAACATAAATAGAACTTACTGATAGAATCTATTCTGAAAATATTGCATTCCTTGTTATACTCCAAACCACACTTTTTGCGTATGAATGAGGAAAGGAATAAAATAGTATATGATTCCTGCTTGTCTTAAGACGATCCATATGTTATGAATAAGTCGCAACCGTAACTGTATCGTATCACTCATGCTCTGAATTATGTAAGAAACCCCGGGGTATGGGCTCTTAGTCATTAGTTATTGGGCAGTGAGTGAGTGAGTATGGTTTTACGCCGCTCTAAGCAATATTCCAGCAATATCACGGCGGGGACACCAGATATGGGCTTGAATATTCAACGGTCTATCAAATTTGTTTAAACATATTTTGTTCATGGGAAAAGGATTGGGTACAAGTTATACAACTTAGAACACCCTCTCCTTCGTATTCACATGAATATGTGTTTACATTCTTTATACAAGATGGACAGAAAATAACAGCAAGATGGGAAGCAGTGGAATAATAAAAAGAATCTTTTTGATTGACAAATATATGTGGGAACAATTATAAATATGTTTTGATTTATGCAAACAGTCAGATCTGCATTACCATGTAATATTAGCTCATCATGTATGTTCATATTGGTAACACTGCATAAATTGTACATCATGCCAGTTCAGACTGTATAATTTACACTCAAATAGATAATTATAAGAATTTCACAAACAATTCCACAAGAACAACTTGGATTATCTTTTAAACCAACACGGAATAAATCATTATTCTATCAAATTGCACTGGAAGCTGAGTCTTTGCGAGCCTTCAGTGTCACCTGATCCTTGAAAATACGAGACTGTGGGGACATGAAGAAAGTCCTCTGGTTGTCCAAGTAGGTCGTTGTATTCTGATGAAATCCATATAAATTGAAATGAACCGATAACTTGTTCTTTTGCTTGGAAAACTACAGAATTATGTTAGGTCCGAAGCAGGAACTCTTAACTACTTCAATCGGTTGAGGAAGATTCCATGCCCCGGATTTCACCATTTCTAGCTGTGTCATTTTCGTTCATCTGCAGATGATCTCTGACCAATCAGGTACAGTCTTCTAAAAATGACGACGAACCTCCTTTGACGATGACTGGACATTCCACTGTGACGATTAAGCTGCAGCTTCCAGGATAAACGGTTCGTCCATACGCCCGGGATTGATGACACGTGATATGCAAATCATATCTGCGCATGGGTACTGCATTCTGCCAAATAGGTAGTCAAAACGACATCCATTCATGTTGAACGGCGACGATGATCCCTGTCGTGACTGGTGACCTGTGGCCTGCTTGTCATCCGAGTACCAACTTTCCGAACAATACCTCAGTCTCATTCTGGTGTGTCAGGATTCTGGCGATGGTTTAGATGATTGCGTGAGTGTGATTTTACGCCGTTTCTGTAGTATTTTAACATCAATTCTGATGATGCCGAAAGGAGCTTTATTCGCTGTCTTCCGGTCGAATGATTTCTACCGCATATTTTTTATTTCGGTTGCAGTATTTCCGATGAAGACATAGTCAGAGGAAAACTCTTAAGGGAGGATCTTCTCTTAACGTTGAGATGTAATTTTCTGAGAATCTTTGCAAACGAAGGTGTCTTCTAGAATGTATTAATTTCCCAATAAGTTCAACCCGACATTGATGGCTGTACCTGAAAGGTTGAGGGTAAAATTCGCAGGCTGATCGGAGGCGAAAAATCGTTTGCTTGGAAACCTGACTGGGATTACGCGAAAAAAAGACAATTTGCTATAAAAAAAACCCCGTCTTCTGAACTTCTCTGCATAGATTATCAGTATATGGAGTTAATAGTCGGAACTGGCTTGATCAGCCTCCGATCTTCGGCTGCAGATAGCTGTGTGAATGTTGATTGCCGTACTACTACCTGAGGTTGTAATAAGGTTAAAGTCTGTGCGAAAGACGAATCTTGCACATCTGAAGTGTAGTCTTCTGAAAATCCCGCGAACGTGTCTCATATGTCCTCTTCTACTGCTGAAGAGGTCGTGAAAACGAAGTGATAGTCGCAGATGGCTGCATGAAGATCTGGGGCTGTGTGCCAGCTTGCACCTGCATGAATATCCGAGGCTGCTCTTGGCCTGAAGCTGCCTGAAGGACTAGGCTGCGTGCAGGCAGTGGTGTCTTGTGCAATGAAAAAAATGGTAGTCTTCTTGGACGCCTGTGTGCGTGTCTCGAAGTTGTCTTCTAAGAAAGGTTCGTAAACCCTATGATGACATGGCCACGGGGTCTCAAAGGATGACCACTAGTCTTATTCAACTTCGCTTATTGCGCACATGCCTGAAGCTGCAAGTAGATCTGGGGCTGCGTGCCAGCTTGCCAGCTTGCATCTGCGTGATGATAAGAGGTTGTGCTTGGCCTGAAGCTGCCTGCAAAGACGAAAGTGTGGTAGTCTTCTGAGATGCTTAAGTGCAGGTCTCAATAGCGACTAAAAACGCTGTGGTGACCGTTGTTGAAGGCCTTATGAAATGTGACATCTAGTCTTCAATTGTGCTTGCTGCATTTATTTGATGCTGCAGAATGACCTTCTGGAAGTAATATCTAGATAACTTTTTATCTTCAACCTCATAAGCGATGGACTTCGTATTGCTCAAGACCCAGTAGTCTTCTTCAATCTCTTGCGTCTTGCAGAAATCCTCCATGCTGTGAAACAGAAACGTCTTTGCGTAGAAAGGAGGTGTAGGCATCACATGAGGATGCTTCAAGATTCTTCGCAATCTGGGAGGTCTCGATGTCTTCACCTTTGATATAGTACGTATGTGCAGGAGATGAATCGCGTGAAGGTTTGAAAATTGGTAAACCATCCGCAATCCATTCCAGTAGTTCATGTTCTTCATGAATGGAAAGAATATTTTCATCATGTGAACAATCTCCGTTGAATGGCGATTCAATATTCTGTTAATCTTGAATGGTACTAAATCCAATGCTGTGGAGCCACGTCGAGACGATTCGTGAAACACTGACGAAGCTGTTAAAGACTACGTAAGTGGTTTCTCTATCCCTTGCTATTGATGTTGTTGAATATCAGATAGTACTTGTCTAATGGGGGCGATCGGGTAGTCTAGTGGTTAAAGCGTTTGCTCGTCACACCGAAGACCCGGGTTCAATTCCCCACTTGGGTACAATGTGTGAAGCCCATTTCTGGTGTCCCCGCCGTGATATGGCTGGAATACTGCTAAAAGCGGCGTAAAACCATACTCAGTGTCAGTCAGTGTCTAATGACATATGCTTTTAAATTTGGATGATTAGCAGACTGCATACCTCCATGGCAACAGCTGTTCCACTAAGAAGTAGAAAGTTGAGTTAGTTAGAGTTACACGTATCCATAGAAACAGGACTTCTCACAAATCCTTAAAATCAGGGGACAAGTGAGAGTGGATTCCTGTCAAGTTGAATGAAGATTGAATGTAATGTGACCTCAACTCACCTTGCCGAACACCTCTTCCACTGCCTTCTTGTCCAGCAGGTCAACATTGTATGTCTGGATCTTCTTCCCGACAATCTCCTCCACGCGGCGGATACTCTCTGTAACATTGCAACACTAGTTTATATATACGCTCTGTAACTATGTTATATCAGCTTACATACTCTCTGTAACATTATAACACTAGTTTATATATACGCTCTGTAACTATGTTATATCCCTCTTACATACTCTCTGTGACATTATAACACTAGTTTATATATACGCTCTGTAACTATGTTATATCAGCTTACATACTCTCTGTAACATTATAACACTAGTTTATATATACGCTCTGTAACTATGTTATATCAGCTTACATACTCTCTGTAACATTATAACACTAGTTTATATATACGCTCTGTAACTATGTTATATCCCTCTTACATACTGTCTGTAACATTGCAACACTAGTTTATATATACGCTCTGTAACTATGTTATATCAGCTTACATACTCTCTGTAACATTATAACACTAGTTTATATATACGCTCTGTAACTATGTTATATCCCTCTTACATACTCTCTGTAACATTATAACACTAGTTTATATATACGCTCTGTAACTATGTTATATCAGCTTACATACTCTCTGTAACATTATAAAACTAGTTTATATATACGCTCTGTAACTATGTTATATCAGCTTACATACTCTCTAACATTATAACACTAGTTTATATATACGCTCTGTAACTATGTTATATCAGCTTACATACTCTCTGTTACATTGCAACACTAGTTCATAAATCTCTGTAACATTGCAGCACTAGTAGATATACTCTCTGTAACATTATAACACTAGTTTATATACTCTAATGTAACATTGTAACGCTAGTTATATACTCTCTGTAACATTGTAACACTAGTTCATACAATAGCTCAAATACTCTCTTTAAAATTGGTAAATCAGCTTAACTACTCTCCTGTCACATTGTCACACTAGTTCATATACTCTCTGTAACATTGTTGTATCAGTTTATATACTCTGTAACAATGCTAAATTAGCTTAAATATTCTCTTTAGAATTGTAACACTCGTTAATATTCCTCTGTAACACTAATTTATGTTCCCTCTGTAACGAAGTTAAATTATGTCTTTCAGTGGCATTTAGAAGTTGTACATCGATGTCCAAGATATTTTTATGGATTAAACTTCTTTTAATTTCTCTCACGACGTTTCGAGACCATTCCAGGTCCCTTCATCAGGTGAACTGGCAGTTAGGACTATGACGTCGTCACTATGACGTTATAACTGAGTTATACCTGAGTGTATACCTGCCAAGTGCGTGGGACCTCTTGATTAACTTTTGGTGAACTTTAGATAAAAGAAAAACGAGTCTACTATTCTTTTTTGGAAAGTCTGCTATTAAGTAGCTTTTGTGTAATTAGCAGTTGTTGTGTATTGACAATTCAACTTTCTACTCTATTATTAAGCATGAATTTTCATCATTATGTAATTAACTCTTCAAACTCACTTATACAGTACTCTCCCTAGTGTACTGTGATGTCACTTGCATTGTGACGTCATAGTCCTAACTGCCAGTTCACCTGATGAAGGGACCTGCATGGCCCGCGTTTCACAAAAGCCTCCTAAATTTAGGAGGTCGTAGCCTATACGACCTTGTTTACGACCCTCTTCCGACCTCCTTTACGACCGTTTCACAAAGACGTCATATCCATGTCGTACGACGCGGTCCTAAATCCATGTCGTACACTGTTTAAGAGGTACTTTGTTGCATAGCGAGACCGAACGGGCACCTGCTTATCTTGTTTTTCCCAAAGTATTTCAAAATAGAAATACAGTTTGAATAACAATGCAAATGTTATGTTTTTAATTCAATGTACAGGTTATCTTATCGTAAAATAATATCATTAATGAATTATTTTGGATTCTCTCACTACATTCCATTGAAAATTACAAAATAAAATGTATAAATCATTTCCATTAATGTTATCAGTTTTACTTACAAGGTTTGAATTAAATCGCTGTCCATTAACTTGTTCATATGAGACTGCAATATTAGTCCAAATATATTGAATATTGCACACTATAGGACCTAAAGTCAATGTTGCAGAACATGCCTAGGCTTGATCTACTAACACTTGTGTAAAGGTTTAAAATATGGTGTGATACTCTAACTGTGTCAATTTCTTTTGTAACTTTTATTCAAACAATCAAAAACTTTCAAAGAATAAAAACGTATACCCTATATCCACGTATGATATGATATTGAACAAGCCTAAATGTAGGTACTGAAATTGATTTCATGAAAAAAATATCTGAATGATACGCAAAATATACATCATAGTACTGAAAGTGTAATCAGAAGGCTAGGACGATTGTGTTTACTCTTTTTCATCCGACCTTCACCTCAAAGATATTGCCTAATATGTAGTACTACAACAATGTTGACGTGTGACATCACAACCGATGACCGATTTCTTACAAAATGGCGGCTTCGCTGACAAGGATACACAGGATTTTGCGAGGACTCTTCCCTTGCTTCAGGGATCGTTTGTACATAAATATGAAATGTAAGTAATCAGAGTGACTCTGGCTATCTGTGTATTGTTATATGTTTTCTTTGTAAACAAGAGAAGAAGCCAGAAATGCTGATAATTACCGTTGTCGTTCTGCGTGATTTTGCGTCTGTTATGGCGTCACTCTGCACGGAAACTTTGACAATTTCTCATGAAGTATCAAATCATTTTGCATTGTATCTATTTTTAATTTCCTCTTTCTTGCTATGATACTCTTTCCATACATATTCTAAAGGTACTGAGCCATTGCAAGCAATGAATATGTATGGAAAGAGTAAATATTCTCAGTATCATTGTAACACTAGTTCATATACTCTCTGTAAAAGTGTTTATATACTCTGTATATGTGACATTGCAACCCTAGTTCATATACTCTCTGTAAAATTGTTATATCAGTTTATATACTCTGAATATATGACATTGCAACCCTAGTTCATATACTCTCTGTAAAATTGTTATATCAGTTTATATACTCTGTATATGTGACATTGCAACGGTAGTTCATATACTCTCTGTAAAATTGTTATATCAGTTTATATACTCTGTATATGTGACATTGTAACCCTAGTTCATATACTTTCTGTAAAATTGTTATATCAGTTTATATAATCTGTATATGTGACATTGCAACACTAGTTCATATACTCTCTGTAAAATTGTTATATCAGTTTATATACTCTGTATATATGACATTGCAACGCTAGTTTCTAATATCTATGTAACATAGTTAAATCAGCTGACATACTTTCTGCGGCATTGCAACACTAGTTTGTATACCCTCTGTAACGAAGTTAAATTAGCTTAAATATTCTCTGTATCGTTGTAAACACTAGTTCATATACTCTCTGTAACAGTGTGACATAACACTCGGTAACATTGTAATACTAGTTCATGTACTTTCTGTATCATTGTTATATCAGCTTAAATACCCTATGTAACATTGTAACACTAGTTCATATACTCTCTGTAACATTGTAACACTGGACCATATACACTCTGTTACAACAGGTTACATGCTCTCCGTAACATTGTAACATTTGGTTCTACATTATGTAACATGGTTAAATATGATTACACACTCTGTAACACTGTAACAGAAGGTTATGTATTGTCTGTAACATTTTGTGACACTAGTTTTAATACTCGCTTTGCCATAGCAACATAAACTTAAACAAGCCCTATAACATTGTGACACAAGCATTTTGTCTCTGTGTATCATATGCATCAGAACGTGTTTTAATCTGTGCAGCATATAGCGTAAAAACCCCAAAGTGTAAAGAAGAACTTTGCATACTCGTACATCCTGTACACTTTTTATGACAAGTTGCTTTGTGATTACAAAGAAGATTAAAGCTTTTGTTTAAACAATTGACCATGTTGGATTTTTAAAACGTAACTCAAGCTTGGTTTACGCCAGTGGCGTATTTAACATGGATAAAAATTCAATTTCAAATGGACCCATGAAGATCCGGGGTAAAATAGGTCTTCAGCAACCCATGCTTGCCACAAAAGGCGACTATGCTTGTCGTAAGAGGCGACTAAGAGGATCGGGTGGTCAGGCTCGCTGACTTGGTTGACACATGTCATCGGTTCCCAATTGCGCAGATCGATGCTTATGTTGTTGATCACTGGAATGTCAGGTCCAGACTCGATTATTTACAGATCGCCGCCATGTAGCTGGAATATTGCTGAGTGCGGCGTAAAACTAAACTCACTCACTCACTCAATTTCAAATGAATTGCTTCTGGATCGGTGAATGGACTGACGGACGGACAGTTCAAGACAGTCACTACCTACAGAGTAATCTGGTACTTACCCATGCACGCATTGACCAGGTTGTCAAGGACAACGACGGAGTATCCTGCCGCAATCAGTTCGATGATAGAATGGCTGCCCACATAGCCTGCTCCACCAGTGACTAGGATACACTTCTCAGACATCTTGGTCTGCTGGAAATAATACAACACTGTTGGTACTCGCTGCAACATTGCCACAGTAACTTAAATACACTTAATATCATTGTAACACAAGCTTTTGTGTCTCTATGTATCACATGCATCAGAACGAGCCTTAATCTGTGAAACATGAAGCGTAAAACAAAAACCTTTTATGACAAGTTGTTCTAAGATTAAAGCAGTTATTTATACAATTGACTTCTTCTTTGTTCCTTTTATCAAATATTTCTGCCGATGTTTGAAGATGTTTGCACGACCTTGTGGATAGTGCATCTATCCGGAAAGCGGAAAGTAGGTGGTTCGATTTCGAGTCACATCATACTTCAAAACGCTACAATAAAGTACTTGTTATTTTCCTGCGGGTCCTGGAATGACTCGATTAAGGAAATGAAACGCATTTGCACCATTTGCACCATTTGCACCAAGGTGAGGTGAGGTGAAATTGGGTTTGACGTCGTACTTGAGAATATTTCGCCCATATGACGACGTGCATGCGTGTGTACGTGTACGTGCGTCTGCTTGTACTAGCCCAGACTTAAGCTGGTTTTATAGTGCTAGCCAACTGCGATACCATGCCGCAGTGAAGCATGAATACCCCACTTAGACACATTATACTGACTCCGAGCCGACCAATCCTTGTTGTACCCATTAATGCCGAGCGCCAGGCGGGGGACCAGCAAGTACCATATTTTAACGTCATTTGGTATGACGCGGTCGGGGATCGAACCCCGACCTTCCACTCTCGAGCGGACGCTCTAACCACTACACCACGGAGGCGGTCTTGCACCCCCTGCTCAATATACAATTTTCTATAATTTTAGGTTTTGATTTTATTGATGAGTACCACAAAATTGTTCTGGGCCTGATTTTGTTTTATATCAGTTCATAAAATTCGATTTAGTCACTGTTCGTGTAGTCATGAGAGTCATTGCTCCAAGTCAGATCCTCATCATATTCTGTTTTCCAACTGAGGTCTGTGTTCTTTGAACAACCAAATATGAACTTGTACTGGGTGTAAGTTGGTATAATTTATACCTTATGATATCTTCGTGAGTGGAGAATTTGTTTTTACCTAAATCACTGGTGTAACAATTCGTCACCACTCGCCCCGTAAGTTCCAAGAAGACTCGTCCCCGAATCGATGAATGTTATGTGCGAAAATATGACGAAACAATCAGAAAGCGCGTAGGGATTGAGATGCTTTGATGAAAATATACTGATGACTGAATTCGGTTATAGCATTATGTGATTTTTTTTAAAATCGTGAAAAACATATATCGTCATTTTGACATTTTAAAGAACATAGCTAACAGAATTGTGTTGCATGATTTGAAGTTTTCAATAAGGATAGAGTCATGAAAGGTGAGATTATTGCTCTCTCGTGGTTCAACTCCCACATCCATGCCAGAAAGCAATCTATCTATGTATCGGAACAGTGTTCAGAGAAGTGAGGAGTCCCCCAAAGTTCAGTGCTGGGCCCTGCGCTACTCCTTCTCTACGTCAGCCAACTCTCCAACATTACCAACACGTTTGAAACATCTCACATCTCCTATACTGACAATGTTGAACTGATGAATAGATTCAAGACTGATTTTGTATCCACTACTTTACTACAAATTAAAAACTGCCCCTCTGAAATTATATCATGGATGACCCGAAGAAAATTTAAATTAAATGATAACAAAACTGAGGTTCTGCTGACTTCAAAACAACAACACATCAACAAGGTTTAGATACAGCATATGAAGATTGCTTCAGCTAGTATCTGCCCTTCAAGACAGGTTAAAGACCTTGGGTGCTACCGCAGTCTGACCTTTCCATGAATGCACAAATTGATACTCTGAGCGAGACCTGTCATTATCACATTCGTGTGATAGACACAATCAGGACAGGCATCACCAAAGAAGTGCACATATGAGATGTCTTGTGATTTCCCTCCTGGATTACTGTAACAACCTTCTCGCTGGATTCCGTGTAGACTCTAAAATTATCTGTACAGTAGAAATGTCTCAACATTCTTGCTCCAGGCTATCTCTCATATCTCCTTACAGAGCATACACCGACCAGAACTCTCCGTTCTCTGGATCAACATCTGATTTCAGTTCCACCTCTCGTCTCTCGTCCTGTGGTCAGAGTTTCCAGCATTCCAAACTCTCCCACCCTCTTGATTCTTTTAAGAACAATCTAGCTGGCCCGTGAATGAATTGTACATTCCATCCACATAGTTTTATTGCGCCATGAGCATACACCAGTGGTGAACACTGGCATCTATAGAAATAGCAATTATTATTATGTTTTACAAATTAAAATTAGTATGCAGCACAGAGGGTTCGGCTGATCCTGACACAGTCAGGCTGGTAAGGTTCATCATCAGCTCAGAACTATTGCCCCCTCTACACGCAGTCCAGACAGCGAATGGGAATTCTCCCTGGAAACGCTGCCTAGTCGAACCCACCAAGAACTTTCCAGAGAATAGGTAGACTCCCCAACACTGTAGCCTTCTGTATTACCCAGAGTATCAGAAGGGCTGTGCTCCCGGCGGAGAACCTGGGCACTCCCCTGGTCTGTGCAAAGAGATCAGGAGATACCAAACCAACAGCACCAACAACAATGGGGAGACACACTTCAAAGGCGAGGTCCGCATATTTAGCATGCTCTTCCTGAATCTTGCCAATCACGTTGCTGTCGAAAGGGGATAAAATTCAATGATATAAATGAATTCATTGGCTTTATCAAAAAGGACAAGATCAGGTTTGTTGGCTGGAATTCTTCTGAAGTTGTATATCGGCCTATTCCACAGAAGTTTGAAAGCAGCATTTTCCATGACGCCCTGGACATATTCAGGGTCGTTTCATGGATGGACCTCAGAGTCAAAACCACAGGCATGGCGGAGACGGTAGTAAAAGCAACGAGCCATGTTATCATGTCATTTAAGATATGCTGTTTGTGCCAAGGAAGGGCATCCATTTATAAGATGTTCGACAATCTCTGTAAATTCATTGCAAAATCGACATTTCATATTGATATTTTGTTCCAGAATAACATTTTGGCGATTGCGAGTGGGAAGTAACTGGTCCTGGGCAGCAAAAAGAAAGCCCCCAGTTTCTAGCTGTGGAATGCATCATCAGAGGATCATCCGATAAATAAATATGTGCAAAAGTACACAAAAGAATTCTATCATGAAGAGCCTCCAAATTCATCAAACCCCGACCTCCAGAATTGATTGGCATATATAAACGGTTAAGAGAGGAACAAGGGTGGTGGGCTCTGTTATCAGACATGATCCTTCTGGTCAGGCGGTCAAGACTCTAGATGTCTTGTTTTATCCCATCAACTACTCCAAAGGAATAGGTGAGGACTGGCACAGCAAAAGTATTGGTGGCTTTGACCTTGTTTCGAGCATTTAGCTCTGAACTCCAGATTTTCTTTTAGCGAGATTTATACTCGACTCAAAGTTTGTCTAGAATCTGTGCGTTCTCTAGCTTGTCTCGAACTTGCATTGCAAGATAGGTGTAGGCCTGATCTTCCACAAGATGCTCAAAACTCCTCCCCCTTGTAACTTGACCGATCCACCGGTAACTACCTTGCCACGTTTCAAATGAAGAGTATTACATTTGTCGAGTCCATACATCATGCCAATATCATAAGAAAAGGACTGTTCTTTCAAATTGGCGTATCCTTTGGCAATGAGCTCGATGTCATCCATGTAAAGGAGATGATTAAGCGGTGTTGGGGATCTGTGGTGAGGAGGTCCGGGATGGTAACCCTCTTCCCTATTGAGCAGAAAGCTCAACGGATTGAAAGACAAGCAAAACAACAAAGGAATAAAGGAGACCCCTGGAATATTCCCCTTCTGATTGGAATAGATTCCGAAGACTGCACCTGCCCTTGTGAGTACATCTCAAGTTGAGTCGACCAGCAACTTGAGTAAATCAAGAAGTCGCTCAGTGAGGTTAACACAATGAAGTATCTTTAGCCTCTTCCAAAAAAATCATTTTCTGTACAAGAAGTTGATCCTTGCACCCCCAACATCCCTTTCTCGCTCCCTTCTGCTCTCTATACATTATGGAAGAGCAGTAAGATGACTCGAGACTTGTCAAACACATTGTGAATATTTTATATTGTGTATTTATACATGTGATAGGGGAAGGTGTATTGCGCGACCTTTGCAGAACTATGGAGGAACATCACCTGTGTCCACGAGAGAATTGAAAGTGTAGTAATTTTGTTTGGACACAGGGGAACAGTTTCTAGTACCGGTTTCGAAGCCATCAGGCCCTTGACCTGTATTAGATTTGTCCTTTTGGATAACTTTTTTCAGGCAATCTGGTGAGATGTAACAGACAAACGACCTAGTTATTTTCTCATGCATCGCATGGTCATAATCACGGACCCGTGGTGCCTCAAGGTTACAGTCGCCGGGTACAGACCACAACCGTTTCCGGAACCTTTCATTGGCATCAATGGGAGGCCGTTTATCATGTTCACCATCACCCGTTGTTGTGAGTTGCCTATAAAATGCTTTCATTATTTCTAAAGAGTTTATGTTGTTTCTTAAATATGTTCTTCTTTTCCCATTTCTTCTTTCTTTCAGTCCAAACCTTTAATTTTGCCCTAAGGGAATCGACAATTTGGAGAAGTACCTTTTTCCATTGTCTTGTATTGTAATTTTAATTTCCTCCAAATTGACATTTGCCTTTAAGACATTGGGTTCCCTGACGATCTTATTTTAAGGCACAGCTCTATCCAGGAAATATTTCTTCTAGTTTCATTAACTTTTGCAAGAATCCGGGTTTTCTTTGGTCTTTTGTTGTTATCATTTGATAGTTTTTCTTTAGAAACTGTGTGAAGTTCCTCCAAAATTCTAGCGGCAGCATAGACACAGCAATTTACTTCATGTATGCTGAATGTTCTAGAGAAATAACTTCATTAAGTAAATCAATTTTATTTTTGGGAAAAGAAACTTTTAATTGTTTATTTGGCCTCC